GAGCCTTCTACCAGTAGCAACTTGACTGAACGGGCTTCAACGGTGGTCAGCCGGGGACCGCCTGCCAAAAAGTTTAAATCAACCGAAGAGGAGGACTATGGTGGCGACGAGGAGGAGTACGACTCGAACGAGCAAAGCGAAGCGGAAGAAGAAGAAGAGGAGGACGAGGATCAGGAACAGGAAATAAATTCAAGAGAGGCGGAAGGCGGGGACGAGCAAGGTGGCTACCAACGAGGAGGTCGCTTTCAAAGAGCTGCTGATGCTGACGAGGAACGAGAGGCGGAAGGAGGAGAAAATGTAGATGACGATGATGATGATGAAGAGGACGAGGAGGAGGAAGAGGACGACGACGACAATGACGATGAACAGGACGGGGACGATGAACCTATCGGGGGCGACTACGACGAGTCAAGTTCCAGTGAGGCGGATAATGATTCCGATATTGAGATTATTGAAATCAATGACGACGACGATGATGATGAACCGCCGCAGCAACAGCAGCAGGTCAGCGGAAACAGCGCTCCGCGAGAGCAAGTGTCCTCTTCCTTTGCCTCCAGACCAAATCCGAACCGTAAGTAGTAGCTCAGTGACAGTGTTGCTTTTTTGTGTACAACTTAAGATATTCCATTTTTTCAGACTCTATCCGTTCTGATGACGACGACGACGACGAAGAGGAGGAGGAAGACGAGGAAGCTGAAGCCAACGAATCTAATGAATAAATTAAGAAACTCGATCAACTGTATTCTGTAAATCCTTCCATCATCTGGCAAGTATCACTTCTACACACTTTTTCTGATTATTTTTAGAGTTAACATTTATGTAAAATATCAAATTCAAAAAAGGATCCCACTGTAACTTGTTCATAATTTTCTACAAAAAAAAGTAAACATTGCTTTAATAATTACTTTGCTGGCGACTATCGGTAAAGGCGCTCGCTAAAACATTTTAAAAATATCTGACATTTCACATTTGAAACACAACATAACAAACGGTACAAATGGGGATACAAGTAATTCCGGTAATTGAAGAGCTTATTTTTATCCCGTTTTGGTGGGCTTTACTCTCCCCTCCTCCTCCTGACCCCCTGACATTACTTGTTGTTTATTACCTCTCAGCAACACCTAATAATACATATTTGCATTTCAATCATAAAGCACAGGAGTCTCTCGGTTATTCATTTTCTCACCTTCTCTTTCCTTCAGAACTGTGTGTTCCACGTCAGTGTTTCCCGGGTGTTTGCGTCTGCNTTGTTTATTACCTCTCAGCAACACCTAATAATACATATTTGCATTTCAATCATAAAGCACAGGAGTCTCTCGGTTATTCATTTTCTCACCTTCTCTTTCCTTCAGAACTGTGTGTTCCACGTCAGTGTTTCCCGGGTGTTTGCGTCTGCGTCTTACACACTGTTACTTTGTGTCTCTGGCGCCTTGCAGCAGCAGCTGGAGCAGTGCCGCCGATCGATCCATTTTTCGCCTCTCTTTGGTTCTCTTTTTCTCTCACTTCCCCGGGCTCTCAATTACTCTGGCACATGAGCATTGGAAGCAGTCAGTGAGGCAGGCACATCTGCCAGTTGGAATTCCCTCTCTCCNCTGCGTCTTACACTGACTGTTACTTTGTGTCTCTGGCGCCTTGCAGCAGCAGCTGCAGCAGTGCCGCCGATCGATCCATTTTTCGCCTCTCTTTTCGGTTTTCTCTCTCACTATCCCGGGCACTGAATTATTCTGGCACATGAGCATTGGAAACAGGCAGGCAGTCAGGCAGGCAGGCACATCTGCCAGTTGGAATTCCCTCTCTCACTCTATTGCTATACTAAACGCGGAACTAATGAGCCACTCTCTGCTGAGAATTTAAAAGTGTCCACTCTTCTCTTGACGAGTTGACACAGTGCTCTCTCTCATTCTGGTCTCTTCAGCGCTGCGGGCACCTGGTCTGGCTGATCAGTCAGTCACTCAGCAGTCTCCCCACCACCATGAACATCAAGAGCTTGGCGGGCAGCAGGCTAGCTGCTGAAGAGGAACGTCCTAAGCCACCTGGAACACTGCCGGTTGATGATGGTGATAGAGGTGAAGGTGAGGGGGAGGACGACACCGAGTTCTACACCCCCGACTCCGAAGATCCCTGCAAGTTGTCCTTTACCTTCAACTCGACGACCATCTCCGCCTCCTCTGCAGGCACCGTCGCCGTGGGCGCCATTCACCTGACGTCCACCACTACCACCACCATCGTTCGCACTGAGGTGCACCCGCTGCTGACAACAACAACAACAACAGAAGATGAGGAGGAGGATGTCCAGCAGTGTCCAGCAACGGCAATTGGTAGTGTTCAGTTTGCACCAGCTTTACCAGATACCACGTTTCAAGATGCACCAGACAATGAGAGCAGCCACCAGCAGCACTATCAAGAGCAACTGTCCAATCAACGTCAACTGACACCAGAATTGATAATACGGGCGGAGAAGGAGGTCAACGAGAAGGACTCCTGGCGGGTGAGGGACATTGAGGCGTTGAGGGATATGCTTCTAGGTGAGTTTTCTTGGTGAAATCTATTCTTAACATTAATCTAATGGTCACTTTTCTACCACGTTTTTCAGCGGAGTCCTCCCTGAAGACGCCCCTGGACGACTGCTTTCTGCTGCGCTTTCTGCGCGCCCGTCGCTTCGACTACGACGGCGCCTTCTGCCTGCTCTGCGACTACTACCGCCTGCACCGCTCCAACCCGGAGCTCTTTCCGCCGGTGGCCAACCTGAAGCCGCTCTTTGAGGCGAACCTCCTCTCCACCGTCACCGGTGGTCGGTCCAATCTGGACGAATCGGTCTTTCTGCTTCGTCTGGGGCGGTGGGACCCGCGGAAGTTCTCCTTCGACGACATCCTCGCCGCCGCCATCAAAGTGATGGAGTGGCTGACGGCGGAGGACGACGTGGCGCAGATCAACGGCATCGTTTCCGTCATCGACATGACCGGTTTCGGGTGGTCACAGCTGCGCAAGTTTGGGCCTGGCCTGGCGAAGAAGTGCATCTTCATCATGGAGAAATGTCTGCCCATTCGCATCAAAACCATCTTCATCATCAACGAGTCGACGCTGGCAGACATTGGCTTTGCCATTATTAAGGTACAAGAATTGAGCGTTTTNCTTCACGAGAAGATTCAGTTCTGCGGCTCAAATCTGCGCGCCAACGTGCATGCCCACATTCACCCGGATCTGCTGCCGGCAGAATACGGCGGCGGCAAGTTGGGGCCAATGAGCTCTGCGCCGCTCTTCGCCAGTCTGCAGGCGTTTGAGGAGGCGAAAGAGGCCCGGGAGGCGGGCAAGAAGTACGGCTGTGTGCCGCTCAATCAGCCGACGACGCCCACCGCCGCGGGCAAATGTGGCACCCCCAGCTGCGGCAGTCGGTACAGTACGGTAGATGAGCCGGGCATTCTCGGGCCGAACATTGACGGCACCAGTCCGGGCGGCGGGGACATGAAGAGCATCTTTCGGAAGAGTCAAACGTGCAACGGGTACATCTTTGACTACTACAACAGTACGAGCATTGATTGA